GATGCTCAGAATAAGCAAAGGAGGAGTCCTCTATGGCTCTCAGAGGGAACATAGTCCTGCTGACATCTTGACTTCAGACTTCTAATCTCCAGAACTCGGCGACCATCAACTTCTGCTTAAGCCCCCGGCTTTGTCACTTTGCTGTGACAGCCGAGCAGACAAATACACCTCTCCTTTCATCTCCAGCGCCTCTTTCAGCCTAGCTGTTGAGCTGTTGAGCCGAGAGCCTAGCACAAGCTCTCGTTTTCCAGACAAGCACATGTAGTGGTCCTTGGTTGCTAGCTGCTCTCCCAGCTGTCGGTCTCTCCCCTGTTCAGCTCACCCTTCACAGTGCCATATTAATCTTTCTAAAACAAAATTCTGATTCAGTCATTCTTCTGTGCTTTCAGCTACTCTTTCTGCGTCCTATAGAAACCAGATGTCTTGGCCAAACGTTCAGAACTCTTGTTGATCTGGTTCTGTCCATTTCACTTTGATATTTTATTCAAGTACTTCAGCCACACTGCACAGGTTGCTATAACTCCACTCCTCCCTTTCCCACTCGTGTGGTTAGGGTACCTTTCCCCCTTGCCTTCATCAGAATCAAACAATACTTCTTACAAAGAAAAGTCTTCCTCCATTTGTTCCCAGCAAGAATGCTAGGAATTTCCCAACAATTTCTCAATTCTCTGAATTCTTATAGTTCTTATCTCTTACACCTCTGATGACATCTTTTCCATCTTGTGTTATAATTAAGTATAACTCTAATGCCTCAGTTCACTCAGCAGTCAGTAAGCTTTGAGTAGGGACCATCCCTGAATGCTCTCAATGTTCTACATGTTGAAGAAACATGATTGGATACATGATGCCCTGTAAGGAATGATTGAATAAATGTTGCACTTCCTTCAGTGTCTAGGGAATAGTCAGACATTTCTTCACTTCATCTAATACCATGCTCTCCTTTGACCTCCCTGTTCTGGCCACAGTGGCCTTTTTTAAGGTCTCCTACTTGATATGCTCCCCCTGCCCCAGGGCCTTTGTACATGTAGTTCCTTCTTCCTGGAACACTCATCCCTGCCTAGAACATCCAGTTAATTTCTTCTAATCCTTGACATTTCAGCTCGACCATCACTTCCCCAATAAAGGTTTAGTTTATCTTTCTGACCAGATCAAATTCCCATTGTGTAAACTCCTGTGGCACCACAAATTCCTACTGTGTTACCTCTTACCTGCAACACTCACTGCAGGCACCCCTTTAACATTTCTGGTCATGGTAATTTGGTTAATGTCCATATTCCCTGCAAAACTATAAGCTCTGTGGGGACAGAGACAGTTGGAAAATTATCTGCTTTAGATCACTATGGTATGCCTGTCCTATAGTAGGTGTTCAATAAATATTCATGGAGAAAACAAATGATGACTATAGCTGCATTTACATTTGTGTAAATAATCTATTAAAATTTTCCAGGCAAACCTAATGCAGGCAATAATTATAGCACCTATAATTTTTGTACCTACTATATGCTAGACCTTGAGCCTAATTCTTTATGTGCTCTATCTCATTTAATCCTGAAAATGACGCTATGAGTTAGCAATCATTGTCCTTGTTTTAGAGATGGGCAGTGATTCAAATAAGTAATTCTGCCCAAGATCACAGAGTTGTTAAATAACAAAACGGTGATTGAAAACCATTGCCCATATTAAACACCATGCCAGAATTACAAAAGAAAATCAAACAATACCCTTGATCCTTTTGAATACACATGATAAACATAAAAGACTGACCAGATAGTGCTACATCCTTGCAGTCACATTATTTATTAAAGTGTAGATTTCTCAATAGCAAAGCTGTATATTTCTCAAGGGACTGTATCTTGTTTACCAACTAAAGACCCATTAGCTGGCACAGGGCCTGGCACACAGTAGGTGTTCGATATATACTTGAAAAAAGGTTTGTCACATCCTTGTGAAAAATAAACACATATAGCCAGGGCCAAACATCTGCTTTGGAGAAAGCAAATAAAGAAGGAAGAAAGGGAAAAGAAAGGAGATAGGGTACAAAAGGTATTGAGCACCTACTGTGTTTTGGTGTGCTAATGTAGATGGCTTTATTATTGTAGATGTTCTCTCACCTAAACCTAAACTAACACCGTGACACCATTATATTATTCCTGCTTTTTGCAGATGAGAAATCTGATGCTCAGAAAAGGTTTTAACCTCAGGGCTGAGTGGTTCCCCAGTCTGTAAGGATGGGCCAGTATGGTGATTGGCAACATCACAGATAGGTGAAGGCTTCCAGGTCAAGGTCAACAACCACCTGTGAAGCTCCCAGAATGGCTGTGTGATACTGCTCAGAAACCCATTCTCCTGACTAACTTGGAAGATGAAGGTTTAAGTGAGCCACAGGACTCCTCACTTCCATTTCTGTTGGTTTTATTTCCCAATGTCCGTTATTTTTGCACACAACCATCTCATAGTTCTTTACCTGAACGTTTGAGGGGGGGAAAAATGGCTTGCTGAAATGGAAGTGCCATCAGGCTCCTGATTTCTTCCAAAACAATCAGTCAACCCTTTTAATTTACTTACTGCAATGAATGTCTGACAGTCCAGATCCCTCCACAGAAACAGAAAAAGTAACAGTGAAAATGACTGAGGATAACAGCCAGAGAAAATTGAAACCATGGCACTGAGCCCCATAATAATGCCCGAGGACAGTGGCGCAGTGGGGAACTCAACGGCACATTGACTAAAACCTAAGATCAGCATGAGGTTACATCCTCTGCAAGGCAGGAGTAGGGCACTTCTTGGGTGCACACTGAATTATTTTAGTGAAGTGGTACCATCTTCCTGATACCGTCTGTTTGACCATTAGGTAACTCTTGTGACAATACTTCTCTTATGTAACATTTCTACATGCACTCCGTCATCTTCCTCTCAGAATAACCACATGCAATGGAGAAGGCAGTTACAATTACTATCACCGTTGTACAGTTTAGGACACGGAGGCTGGGACAGTAATGGCTCCTCTAAGGGCTCACAGCTAATCAGGGCAGAACAAAGACTGGAACTTGGTCTATTGAATTCTTATGCTCTCTCCACGACCCCTCACTACTTCCTAATAAGACACATAGAGGAATACGCTTACTAAAAGTTTCCCACATGAATAACTCCTTTCCAAGTGATGCCCACCAGGGGAAAGTTGGTGAGGGCTCTGTAAGGGTGCTTGATGGGCCAGTGAGGTCGGTCGCTGTGTTCCTCTAGCCTGCAATAGGAGGTCTGCAGGCAGTCCTCAAGGAGTGTGCTGAACCAGAGGAGCCAAAGTTGCTGCTGATAAAGTGTGAGAGCAGTGAGTAGCATACTGTAAAAGGTGCACAAGGGTGCTCATCAAATGACATCCATACACATGAGTGCCCAGGCCGCCGCTGTTCTTTAAGACCTTATCTCTACGTGCAGGCTAAATAGTACTGAAATTAGTAATAATAATAATAATAACAACGATAATGTTTTATCATTTTGGGTAATATCAGCTTTAATCCTCATCCAGCTGTACAAAATGTATTATTAGCCCCATTTTACAGATGGGAAAACTGATGTTTTTCAAGGTGTAAGGATTTACTGCTACTAAGTGGGCAGTTTTCAGATCTGATGCTGGGTTGTTCTTAGATTTTTTTTTTTTCCACCCTATCATGTTTCTTTCAGATGTAGTTAATTCAATCAGTTGGGATAATAATTTAGTAAGTTAAATATTTTAGCCTACAGACCTTTTCTTTCTTTTCCTTAAGCTGTCTAGATCTGTGGTGAGGTATTCATCCCATGGCTTTGTTTGTGCCAGTTTAAGCATGCTTGCCTCTAAAGTGTTATTTTGGCTTTACTTAAAGCACAAAGGAGGTGCTAACATTTTTTAAGTGAATGTTTGCCCCCTTCAGTTTGATTTAGTGGCCTGGGGTTCCCCCTAGTCCCTTTGAATCAAATTTGCTCTGGAATCATGTTTATTTCTTATGCATTTGGGATAACTGATGTGCTCCTAAAGGAAAAAGGAATATGGGGAGGGAGGGGCAGCGTGTGAGATTAATCTTTAACAGAAAGGACAAATCCAGTTTAAGCAAAGGGAGAAGAGACAGTGTAAGGGCCACTGTCACTCTCAAAACCTGCAAAAGGCTTCTCTGGGCACATTACAGCCATTCCCAAAGCAGGAGAGCCACCAGGCACCAGTTCAACAAAGATGAAGGCCAAGATGACGGATTCCAAGTAATAGAACGACCAAGGCTGTATTCTTGGGAACTGTGTCTTCTTGAAAAATGCCCTGAGTTCAGCATTGTGTGTACTCCTCAGGAATATGTTACTGCCTATAAGTGATCCATGTGAGAAATTACGTGTGACATCTGGGTGGTCTCTTACAAAGACCCTGAACCCCATGTCCTGAAACAGGTCAGTGACCACCGTAGGAAGGATGTCAATTGTGGCTTCCCCTCCCCCGGAGAATTTAGGAAGTGTGTATAACCACCAAGACTTTGATGTATCATCTCATTTAGACCTTACACGAGGCTTGCATAAAGAGCCCTTGACTGCCGCTCACTCAGTCATTTGATATGTATGTTTATTAAGTACATACTGCATGTCAGGCCCTGTGCTGGGGATACTGCCCCGTTGGAATTTACTTTCTAAGGAAAAGAGAGAAAGTGAGAAGATAAAATACTAGCAAGGGGGCTAGGGAGAAAACCACCAGTGGTGGAGGGAAGGAAGGAGGGCGTGGCATCCTCTCAGCCTTGCTGTGCTGGGCATCCATCCACCCCCCCCAACCCCCACACCTATCCCCACCCCGCTCCACCCTCCACTCTCTCCTACCCATCCTCCTGGCTTCTCCCCCTCCGCTCCGTGTTCCCTCCCCGCTCCCTCCCTGTTCCGTCTGGTCGTGGGTGTCCCGCGAGCCCTCCAAGCCAGCCTCGCCCTCCCACCGCGCAACTGTCCAGCCTGAACCCGCCCACGCCCACCGCCCCTGCGAACGGGTGCCTGCATCCACGATGGGAAATGAAGCTAGTTACCCGACGGAGATGTGTTCCCACTTCAACCACGATGAAATTAAAAGGCTGAGCAAGAGGTTTAAGAAGCTGGACTTGGACTGTTCGGGCTCTCTGAGCGTGGACGAGTTCTTGTCCCTGCCCGAGCTGCGGCAGAACCCGTTGGTGCAGCGAGTGATCGACGTCTTCGACACCGACGGCAATGGAGAGGTGGACTTTGAGGAGTTCGTCGTGGGGACCTCCCAGTTCAGCGTCAGGGGGGACGAGGAGCAGAAGTTGAGGTTTGCCTTCAGCATCTACGACATGGATAAAGACGGCTACATTTCCAACGGGGAGCTGTTCCAGGTGCTGAAGATGATGGTGGGGAACAACCTGCAAGACTGGCAGTTACAGCAGATCGTGGACAAAACCATCATCATCCTGGACAGGGATGGTGACGGGAGAATATCCTTCGAGGAATTCAGTGCGGTGGTCGGAAACCTGGAGGTCCACAAGAAGTTGGTGGTAATTGTGTGAGCCTTTTTTTAAGAGCACCACCCACCAACTCTCACTTAACCTGTCTCTTTCAAGATCAGCTCCAGGCAGCCCAGCACCTGTCTCTCTTGACTTATTTGGAAGTGTTTCTCTTTGTGAAGCCACATTGTCTAACGTGAACCTCATGACCAGCTCGGTGTTATTAATTCTTCTCTCAGTGCTTCAGGGTAACACCCCAGAGGAGCGTGGTGGGGAAAGAAAAACAAATGGCTTTTATAAACGTCTTTTGCTTTGCTTTGATCCAGAAACCAAACTATAAAGAGTCAAGAAGAAGTTGAAAACTTCAAAAATAAGAATATATACACTTCTTTGCCTCTACTTCTCATGCTTGTATATGGAGAAAACTGCACAATTTCAGTCAGGTGTTAGGTGAACTACTTTCATTTATCTGTGGTATCCAGGTATTTTTTGACAGATTGTTAACTTCCTATTGTGGCAACAGGAATAAATATATTTATCTTGGCTGAGCACCTTTTAAGCAGCTCTCTCTGGACAGGGAAAGCCCATCTTCCCTTTCCTAGGCTGCAGCCCCCTTCCCATCTTCATCCAGAAATTCCTGAGCATGTCTGAAGGGCTCCTCCTGTCTCATTGTTCCAGCTCCTGCCCAGAGGCTGGTCTCAGGGCTCTTGCAAGAAATACTAAGCCTGGACTGAATGCCCAGCCCAACTGTCAGCCTCAGTGGTGGTCAGTCTTTCAGGATGGGTGACCCGCCCCCCAATATTAAGTTTGGTTAAGGTTGCTTCCAGACAGGGCAGGGACCTTCTTAGAAAGCTCTCACCTCCAAAACTCACCACCACCCGCCAACCCCCAATTAAAGGGAAGGGGACAGATTCAGAGTCGTTCTTTCCACAAGGCAGAGTCAGTGAAGATCTCAGCTGCAGCAGGCTTCCCCTGGGATGCTGAAGTGGTGTTGCTCCTGGTACTCAAAAGATGAAGAGATGGGCAAACATATCTCGGCAGCAGGCAGGGGGAGTGCTGTCTGCACTGACTAAAACTTAGCTTTAAACATAAGACGTGGGGCCTGGCAGGGAAACTGAGAGAAGGGAGGACTTTTCATTCCTCACACCCTAATAAATCTGCAGCCAAAGGGTGTACCAGAGCCTGTTCACACTGGATCAATGTGTATGCATCTCTTCCTACCCCTGTGTTCAGTGATGTCATGTCGATAGTTTGAAGTTGGTTGTGGTGGAACTAGTATATCACAGAAAGGAGCAAAAGGTTTTTGTTTTGTTCTGTTGGAGAACCATCGTACCAGTAAATCTACCACTGCCTGTATCCCAGATGTTACCAGCTCTCCAAGGCACCACTTACTGTCAGTTCTCAGAAAACAAGCTGTCCTTGGTCCCAGCATCTGCCACTTCCCACCAATCCTCTTCCTCAGAGTAGACACTCCCCCTGGTCTCAAAACACCAGGACAATGAGACATACTCTCCCTACACTGGACAAAACTCGGTGACGTTGCTCAGGATGAGGAAGATCTATTTGAAAGATATTATTATTCCTATGTTTTGAAGAAAACAGTAGCTAGTCTTGAAAAAACAAAAGTAAGAAAAATCCACAATTTTAATTACTGTCAGGGCACCCATCTGCCAAAGGCTCCCCTACTTTTTATTTAGTAGATTATCTTGGAACCACAAAAGATAGGACTCTTTGTCCCCTTAATTCCTGTGCGGTCCTAATGTATTAATGATTAGTAAATGGTACCAACCCTGTAGTGTTATGAGCCATACCCCTATTGCAGGATAACATCATTCAAAGGTTCAGACACAACTGGGTTTGGATTCATTTACAACTGGGTTTTTATGACAGTCACTTATTAGCTGTGTGAGCATGAGCAAGTTTCTTAACCTCTCAGTGTCCTTTCTCCTAATTAAAACAAGGATCCCTCCTATGGTTATTTAGAGGATTCGAAAAGATAAAACATGGTTGCCTCAGTCAGTAGACCATACGATTCTTGATCTAGGTGTTGTGAGTAGGTGTAGAGCCTACTAAAAAAATAAATAAAAATAAATAAAACATGTAAAGTGCCTAGAACACAATGGTTTCATTCTAATTCCCTTCCATTCCATTCATATGTGTGTGTGTGTGTGTGTGTGTGTATATACATTATATATATATAATATATATATATATATATGAAACAGGAGGCCTATTGGTTCTTTTTGAACCCTTACTTAGTACTCAGCCACACCACTCTAAAATTAACTGAATATTTGTGTAATCCTAATCCAGAAAGGAAGCAATGTCATAGTCCTTCCCACCCTCTCATTTGCAGAAGGAACAGAGACTTCTTGACTGGAGAAAGTTAAAATGAAAGACCCTCATTCTGATAAAAAGATCAGGTCAGAGGTTGCCAGAAGCCCCGAAGGAGAGGAAGATGGACGGGTGGAGCACAGGGCATATTTAGGAGTGCAAAACTGTTCTGTATGATACTCTAATGATGAATATATGACCTTGCCCATTTTGGAAAACTCCATAAAAGGCACGACACAAAGAGTGAGCCTAATGTAAATGACGCAATTTAGTTAACAATAAACCTATCAAGTTGGTCCATCACTTGAAAGAAATGCACCCCTTGAAGAAGTTACTAACTGAAGCTGTGTAGGCAAGAAGGGATATATGCAAACGTTTTATACTTTCTACACATTTCTGTAAACCTGTTCTTCAAATAGTCTTTTAAAATGTTTTTTAAAAAAGAAAAGATTCTCATTCAAGCCCAACCTATTTGATTTTTGTGGAGGAATCTTTGCATGAGGAAAGCGAGCATGGTAGTGTTAGCCAAGAAGGCCTCTCGGAGACATTATTTATGTACTCTGCAATGTGCACATTAAAATACAGAAATTTTAAATTATGACCAAGAGTTTGAAACATGTTGGGTTACATGTTTAAATTTAACAAGAAGAGGGAAAATATTTCAGCTTTTGGACTGGCTAGAATTAACAAGCTAATTGCTCAATCAGTCAGGGCTTTATGGCAATGACCTTGAACTGAGAGCCTGTTCCTAGCTTCAGCAATTGGAAAGATCTGACTGTATAGGTGTTTGGTTGTATGGATATTTGGGAAGAAAGATCACATTCATTTCCAAGTTAGAATACTCTGATTTTTCTGTTAATTGTCAGTTGCCAACAAATCTAGTTCTGTACAGCTTCTTGGGGTGATAATGGTAGTTAACACTTACTGAACACCTGTCCCAGGTATTGTTACATTTGTTATATCATTTAGTCATAACAACACTGTGAAGTAGGTGCCATCATTCAGTTTAACAGATGATGCTGTAGAGAGATGTAGAATCTTCTCCAAGGTCTCCCAGCTGGTGAACGGCAAAGCAAGAACCTAAACCAGGCTTTCTGACCCCAAACACTGAGCTTTCTCCAGCTCACCGCATTGCCACCTATTTTTTATAGTTCTTGTATTTACCCACTTCAGATATATTTACCCACTTCAGATTATTTCTGATAGTCTTTTTTTGTTTTTGATTTTTTTTTTAACATTTATTTATCTTTGAGAGACAGACAGAGAGCAAGTGGGGGAGGGACAGAGAGAGGGAGAAACAGAATCTGAAGCAGGCTCCAGGCTCTGAGCTGTCAACACAGAGCCCGATGCAGGGCTCGAACCCACGAACAACAAGGTCATGACCTGAGCCGAAGTCGGACACTTAACCGACTGAGCCACCCAGGCGCCCCTCTGATAGTCTTATTAATGTAATCAAGCCTCAGTTTTCACCAAAGGTATGAACTGTCAAGAAGCAAGCAGCCCCCTCCACTTTCATTCTGCACATTGCGGGCAGTGGGTGGGGAGAGTTAGGCAAGGCAGTCCTTTTTCTTTTTTTTTAGAAAAGATTAAAAAAGTTTAATTTATTGTTTAATTTACATCCAAGTTAGCACATGGTGCAACAATGATTTCAGGAGTAGATTACTTAATGCCCCTTACCCATTTAGCCTATCCCCCCTCCCACAACCCCTCCAGCAACCCTCTTTATTCTCTATATTTAGGAGTCCTTTAGGTTTTATCCCCCTGTTTTTATATTATTTTTGTTTCCCTTCCCTTATGTTCATCTGTTTTCTCTCTTAAAGTCCTCATGTGAGTGGAGTCATATGATATTTGTCTTTCTCTGACTAATTTCGCTTAGCATAATACCCTCCAGTTACATCTATATAGTTGCAAATGGCAAGATTTCATCCTTTTTGATTGTCAAGTAATACTCCAGTGTGTGTGTGTGTGTGTGTGTGTACATATATACCACATCTTTATCCGTTCATCTGCCGATGGACATTATGGGCTCTTTCCATACTCTGGCTATTGTCAGTAGCACTGCTATAAACATTGGGGTGCATGTGCCCCTTCAAAACAGCACACCTGTATCCCTTGGATATATACCTAGTAGTGCAATTGCTGGGTGTAGGGTAGTTCTATTTTTAATCTTTTGAGGAAGCTCCATACTGTTTTCCAGAGTGGCTGCACCAGTTTGCATTCCCACCAGCAGTGCAAAAGAGATCCTCTTTCTCCCCATCCTCGCCAACATCTGTTGTTGCCTGAGTTGTTTATGTTTGCCATTCTGACAGCTGTGAGGTGGTATCTCATTGTGGTTTTGATTGTATTTCCCTGATGATGAGTGATGTGGAACATTTTTTCATGTGTCAGCCATCTAGATGTCTTCTTTGGAGAAGTGTCTATTCATGTCTTTTGCCCATTTCTTCACTGGATTATTCATTTTTTGGGTGTTGAGTTTGAGAAGTTCTTTCTAGATTTTGGATACTAGCCCTTTATCTGACATGTCATTTAAGCAAGACAGTCTTAAGTTATCTTCTGCCTTCATCTCATTTTGAAAAATAAGTGACAGGATTTAGATTAAACTGATAACAGCAACCAATATACTCCGCAGCTGTACAGATCAGTAACAGTATGTTGTTAGGAATCCTATATTAATGAATTGTCTCTGCTCTCTACCATATGTTGTAATCCCAAACCAGTAAACACCTCTT